ATCCAGCTTTTAGATAGTCACTGTTGTATGTCTTAGTAATATTTTTGTTTTTATGGGTTTGTGTGGTATTATGACATGCACAGATTAGTATTCTGCTTGCATTAAGGCTTATTTTTGGTCTATGCTTAGCATTTATTCTGAGTTATTTATGTTACGGTTTTTATTAATATTTTAAGCTTTAGGAAACCAATTTTGAGCCATTTATTATTTTGATTAGGGATATAATGCAACACAATGAAATGCAAATTTAACTGATATAAACAATAATATTTGAATGACCTGAAAATACTTTAGCTAAGATGATTTGTACTATTACAGAACAATGTAGGCTTTAGGGCACCTGCCCAGCTTTTGAGAATATAATGGTTATCAAGGTGATGATGAGATTTCTGTGGATATCAGAATTAATCTTACATTTTACAATTTTGAAATATATGTAAACTAAATCGATTCTTTTTTCCCTCTAAATATTCGAGACCCTGATGAACAACTAGTGATTCACAGATCAGAATCTGATAAATAACGGCTAATACTCTGTTACTGTTTCCTAGTTTAAATTTTTATCTAAGTGCTAATATTATAGAGACATTGAGCAACATTTTCGCTATGGATTTTTCTCCTTTGCATATATCTCTCACTGTCCTACATCATTAGTTCTCCTACTGTCCTGGATCATTCCTATCAAGTACACACAAGCTCTAGAACCCACCATGTTAACAACAACAAAAGTATTATCCTCATTTTTTTTCCAACTATTGCTCCATTTCATTCTAGCCTTTCACAGCACAATTTCTCTAGAGTTTTCTCTAGTCATTGTCTCTACTTCTTTACCTTCCTAAATTCTTAATTTTTTATTAAAGCTGAATGTATACCTATAAAATATGCATCAAGTATAGAGACTAAGGATAACAAACACCATCTCCCCACCATTACCATTAACTTTGAACATTACCAATAACTTTGAAGTCCCTCTGTGCCATTCCAATCCAGTGTCCTTTTCTTCTCCCTTAGAGATGATCACCATCTTGAATTTCTTTATAGTTTCCATATATTTATGTTCCTTAAAAGTATTTCAATGTATATTTTATTTTACACATATGAAATTATACTGTGTGTATCCTTCTGTGACTTGCGTTTCTTATTAATCATTTGTTTCTGGGATTCATTCATATGGTATATAGCCATACTTCATTCATTTTCACTGTTGTATTCCACTGTATGGTTATACCGAAATTTCTCCATTTTGTTATTGGTGGGCACATGGATTGTGTCTAGTTTTCTTGCTACCCCAAACAGTACAGCTACATGCATTTGTGTTCTTGTCTCCTGGTGTCAAACTATATAGTAAAGAATTGAGCTTTGGAATTTTTCCCCCAATCTGTTGTAGATTGATGCTTTTGTAAAATACAATAAAAATGTCTCAACAATGTCAAATTGCTATGAAAATTTCTGAACATTTACTCTTAATTTCTGTGTTTATCTTATTGTGAACCACACTTTTTTTTTTTTTTTTTTTTGGTGAGGAAGATTGGCCCTGAGCTAATATCTGTTGCCAATCCTCTGCTTTTTTTTTTTCCTTTTTCTCCCCAAAGCCCCCCAGTACATAGTTGTATATTCATCGTTGTGGGTCCTTCTAGTTGTGGCGTGTGGGATGCTGCCTCAGCATGGTTTGATGAGCAGTGCCATGTCCGTGCCCAGGATTCGAACCAGCGAAACACTGGGCCGCCTGCAGTGGAGCGTGCAAACTTAACCACTTGGCCACGGGGCCAGCCCCAATCCTCTACTTTTTACTTGAGGAAGATTGTCACTGAGCTGACATCTGTGCCAATCTTCCTGTGTTTTTTGTCTGTGGGACGTCACCACAGCATGGCTTCGAGTACTGTGTAAATTCATGCCTGGGATCTGAACTTGTGAACCCCAGGCTGCCAAAGCAGAATGTGCAAACCCATTCATGATACTACCAGGCAGGCCCCTGGACCACACTTTTAATAACACTGTTCTAAGATGTACCTAGCTGCAGAATTCCTGGATCATACATCTTCCACTCCTTATGCAGAAAATTTTGTTTTCTCAAAATGTCTAATATTCTAGTTGTTCGAATTATACAGAAGGCAGTCCACTAGCAATTTGTAGCTTTGACTATATCTGTTTTCAGTTCCTAATGTGCAAGAGATTTCAGACTAAGACCTACTTTCTGGTTAAAGGTATTTTTTCATCCTAGAGAAATTGACTGCAAATAAGAATGAGCTGCTGCTTAAGAGTTAATTCAAAGCCAACCTAGTAAGTAGAAGTGAGAGAAAACCATGATAATGGGATGAAGGGCCAGGGAGGAGTGGGGATGGTCTGTAATACAAAATACTACGGTAAAGAGATCTAAAAAGAGTAAGCATAAAGAAAAAAACACCCATCGTACATAGTAAGGTTTTCAGAGATCTCTTAAGACTACAGTTAAAATAGGGTGTACGTGACTTCATGTTAGCAGCAGCTTCTGAGTAGGCAGCCTCAGGATGGCCTCAGTGCGTTAGGGAACTTTCTCGGAGTGTGATCTAATGTTCTGCCGGGAGCAGAACTACTTTACATCATCAGTGTTTCTCAACCTTATTTTCACTATCACCCCCCTAAAGAGACTTTTTAGAGATTTTTTTTCCCCTAAATCATCCCACCCTATCTATGAAATTTTAATACCAGAGATTTACAGTATATCTGTTTGTGTACTGTGGTATTTGGAGGGCCACAAACCTTTAAGGTTTTTAAGGATTTTTTTTTTTTTTGCTCCCAAGAACCAATTTTCACCTTCTTGGGAGTGATAGGACTCCTGTTAAGAATGCATGATAGGAATACAAATACGGCTTTTGATATTAGAGTGTGACTATTTAAAAAGATAATATTTATTTAATCATGGTGAATGGAGTTGGGGGTAAGGAAAACTGACTCAATCCTCAGAAACTATCCTGATGAAAGTATGCTTGAGTTAACAAAAAGTCAGCTTCTGCTTAGACTAATAAATTGGGGAAATGAGGTTTATGCATTTGTCATCGTTTGATGTTATCCTTGTAGAAGAAAAGTAGAAGTATGGATTGGATGACAGTATAGTTAGGCAAGTTTGTAGATTCAGAATGCAAATTAATGAATTGATGTCTATCTTGTAGGTAATTTTTAGTGACACGTCATGTGACTGTCTTCACTCCTGTCTGTTCTGTACTTTTATTGGTCCACTTAAGAAAATATCAGATTCACAGATGTTGTGACGATGGGAAGAATGGTGAATAGGCTAGTTGACATCCTCAATCTCCAAAGAAACTTTAACAGGCTAATATCAGGACAGAAGAAAAGTATTGTAGTTAGGTCTAAAAGCCAATTGTATAAGAATAGCATGGAGAAAATGGAGCGTAGCAATATCAAGTATAAAGGAAACTCAGGGATTTTAAGTTATGTTAATCTTAATGTGAGTATTCTTAGGAAGTTGTTAACATCTTAAACTACATTAATTAATGTCTCTAGATCTAGAATGTATACCGGTTAAATCACAACCTGAAATAATTCTATCAGGACCACACTTAGGGCCCTATGAAATCCTGCAGAACTTTAGCGAGTCTCCTCACATATGACACACTTTGCATGTAGCTCCACACCATAGCCGTTTTGTGGGCACGGGTTTGTGAGTTTTCTAAGTGGTTTTGGTATGTCTGGATTTTCTTGGGGAAGGAATAGGTTTCTCTCCACTGGCAAGAGATGACCTGCAAGAGTGTTGACAAGGACATGGTGATGATGATGACTGACAATTTTTTGTGTGATTCGGGGTGGGTGTATTAAGGAATCTAAAATAGAGGTCAGCAACCTCAGCTCATTGACCAAATCCTGCCAGCAGCATGTTTTTATATGGCCCTCGAGCTAAGAATGCTTTTTTTCTTCTTTTTTTCATTTTAAAGGATTGTAAAACAAAAACAAAAAACAAAGAATATGCCACAGAGACCTTATGTGGCTTGCAAAGCCTAAAATATTTACTATCTGTCCCTTTACAGAAAAAAACTGCCAACTCCTGATAAAATATTTGACCAGTGATAGAGTAGGTAATATTTTAAGATCTTTTGCAACCAGGAGATTTAAGACCAAGGACAAGAAACAACACAAATCATTAAATATATGGAAATTGTGTGATTATGTTATCAATTAAATAGGCTTGTTTCAAGACGAGGGGTCAAAGCTATGTAGAAAATCACAGTTATAATAAATTATTTAGGCAAAAGGAGGAGACCTGTTTATTAACTAAGCAAACTTAAAAGAAATTTAGGATTTATCATAGATAGCAGTTAAGCTTGCTAAATTAAAGCTGATTTTATTTTCTTGAGCAAAGTAACTCTTGGAAAGGGAGGCAGGCAGAAAGCCTGCTAGGAAGAAGGGCAGGAAAAGACCAATCTGGGACTAAGAAGTTACCATTGATAACCTATAAAAGAGACAAACAGGAAAACCATCACTAATTATCTGAATATCAAAAGGAGTGTGTGTTGCTTTTTATAAATCCATTCCTTTATACTTCATCTAACCACAAGGACAAACTTTTTGAAGTGCTTTTGACAGAACTGCCTTATTGGTAAGGAAATAGCGCCATCTATTGACACTGGTTTAGGATCAGAGACCATCTTTTGGAGAAGGTGGGAGGGGGAGAGCGTCTGATGATTTGTAATTTCTCTTGTATTTTTAGTGACTGGATATGACTTTGGATTTATATTTTCTTTTTTTGTGGTAATCGATATTTTGAAGGCTAATATAGCTTATTTTAGTGACTTTATTCTGACTGTTCTTTTGATTTCTCAATCAGAGATTGTATAATTAATGAAATAATCTGTCTAGAGAGAATTTTTATTCTGACCTTCTCAATTCCTCACCCAAACTTTAAGCAATTTTAGGTATCTGTAATTGAAAATGCTCCATTTTGTCTTTACATGTATTTGTTTGTTTGGTTGTGGTTTGTAACTGAGTGAATTTTTTTTTTTTTTCAGATGATTCTTTGGGATTGGGACCTAAAGCAATGGTATAAACCTCATTATCAGGTAAATATAAGTGATATCACTAGTAATTAATATCTGTAATAAAAGTTTTGATATTTAAAGTTACAGTCACAAGATTTGTATGCGATAAGATTTTCTTTAACTGAACTAAAATAAGTAGGACTTTCATTTGGGTAAATTTAAAAAGAACCATTTTAATTGTAAGGGAAAAAGAAAATGGTAAGAAACCAAACTTATAAATAATTTAAAAATGTTGCTAATATAATCTTGGCTCAGAATAAAGTGATAATTCTATATTAAGGATGAGTTTTTTTTTCTGATCGTAGACAGCTGATCCACAGAGGAAAAAAATATAGGCCGTATATGAGAAAAAGCAAAGCAGTTGGCAAAATATTATACTAGGGAAGCCAAAAACATTCTACTTAGAGTTTTTGGTAAACTTTTTATTGAATTACACATACAGAAAAGTGCATAGCTCAATGACTTTTCAGACACTTAACGTCTTAAGTAACTAGTACTCATGTCAAGAAATAGAACATTACCTGCATCCCAGAAGCCTCACGTAGGCCTCATTCTTATCGTTACCTATATCCTCAGAGATAACCCTATCCTGACTTCTAGCACTTAGTTTTGCTTATTTATGAACTTTATATATATAAATGGAATCATATAATAGGTACTTTTTAAAGATTTCTTTTAATCACTCAAGTAATACATGTTCATATCAGAAGAATTGAAAATAGCAGTATAGGAGAAAAAAGAAAAACCACTCATAAACATCAAACAATGACTATGTTAATTATGTTAACTTTTGGTGTATATCTTTATAGATCTTTCCCCATTTTCCCATTGTATTGAAATGTGGGTTTGTGTATTCTATTCTACAGAAATTATAATATTATGTTTCATATGCTGTTTTGAAACCTCATGTTTTTCATAGTAATAGATAAACATTAACAAAGATTAAATCTTTGTCATTTGTGTTTATAGAAGCGTTACCCTGTTTATTAGATTTATTTAGTTAGTTGTCCCAACACCAATTTTTGAAAAATGAATATCCCTTTGAATGGTTGATTTTTGTTCTTAAACTGTGAATGGAATAGCTACAAGAATAAGCCTATAAGGATAAAGTCATCTCTGGGCTTTGGTGAGCAAAATAACGTAACTCTTGCTGTCAGATGAAGTCAAGAAGGCCACATCTGACCTAAAAGGAGCTGGTTCCTTGACCTACAACAGTGGGCTTTCTTATCAGTCCTATTCACTAAGATCCTCACTTTCCAATTAAAAGAGTTTCTAAATTACTAGTAATATCTAAAGATAAATAAGCAGTAATGGTTAAGAGCATAAGCTTGTAGTCAGACAGACCTGGTATGTGATATCAGGCACTTCTCTCATTTTTTTTCTTCGCTCTTCTCTCTCTTCCTCTTCCTAATAATCCTTTAAAAAATATTGAAGTGTAACACTCATATATAAAAGTGCACAAATCATGAGAGTACAACTTGATGAATTTTCTCAAAGTGAATATATACATGTGACCATCTTTCCGATGAAGAATTCAGCACCCCCAAAGCCCCTATATGCTCCCCTCCTAGTCATCAACTTCTCGCAAGTGTCATCTCAGTCCCGAATTTGGTCATCACACTTAGTTTTTCCTGTTTTTTAATTTTATATAAATGGAATCAATCATATGTATTTTCTGTTTTGCTTCTGTCTTTCAAAATTTTCTCTGTGAGATTAATTCATATTATTGCACATAGCAATAATTCATTCATTTTTATTCTATTTAGTATTTCATTGAATGAATGTACAATTTATTCATCCTTTCTAGAGAAGATGCACATTTGTTTTATTTTCATTTTTTGGCTATTTCAAGTAATGCTGCTGGAACATTCCTGATGTCTTTTGTTGGGTGTATATCTTAGAGTGGCTTGCTGGGTCACAGGGTGTGCATGCATATGTTCAGTGTTAGTAGCTAGAACCAGATGATTTTCCAAAGAGGTTTTACCAATTTTTACCCAACCATCAGCAGTGTATGAAAGTTCTAGTTGCTCCACATTCTTGCCAACACTTGGTAGAGTCTGTTTTAAATCATTCTGGTGACTGTGGAACAGCATCTCATTGTGGTTTTAGTATTTGCATTTCACCAATGACTCATCAGGTTGAGGATCTTTTCTTAATTTGCTACCCAGATATCCTCTGGTCAGGTCTTTTACCCATTTTTCTACTCATTATGTACCTTTCACTTAGTGATTGGTAGGAGTTCTTTATGTATTTTGGACATATATATAATGTATGCGTTGAAAAAGTCTTCTCCCAGTTTATGGTTTATCATGATGTCTTTTGATGAAAATACTCTATATTTATCAATCATTTCCATTTATACCAATTTATTGATCATTTCCTTTTTGGCTGGTGGTTTTTTTGTGTCCTGTTTAAGAACTCTTTGTCTATCCCCTGGGTTGTGAAGATTTTCTTCTGTTACCTCCTAGAAGTTGTGTTTGTTTTACTTTCTACCTTTAGATCTGTAATGCATCTGGAATTGATTTTTCTGTATTGCATGATTTATAGGTCGATACATTTTTTTCCATATAGATATCCAATTGAACTAGTTCCAGTTATTGAAAAAAATAAACATTCTTTCTTCTTTGCACTGTATTGTCACCTTTGTCATAAGTCAAGTGACCATGTATGTGTAGATTTGTCTCAGGACTTTCTGTTCTGGTCTGTTGGTCAGTTTGTCTATCCTGAAACACTGATATGACACTCATTACTTTAATTACTGCAGCTTTATAATGTCTTGATATCTGATAATATAAGTTCTTCAGTTCTTCAGAGTTATCTTGGCTATTCTTGGCTCTGTCTTTTCATATAAAAGTTAGAATAAACTTTCTCCTAGGATTTTCATTGAGATTATTCTCACTATAGATCAATATAAGGAGAATTTACATCTTTATAATTTTGAGGCTTTCGATCCATGAAAATGGTATGTCCTTCACTTATTTGAGTCATCTTTATCTTAATAATCTTTTCAGTGTAGGGGTCTTGCACATGTTTTGTTAGATTTATTCCTTTAAATTGCAAAAGTTTTTGTAAAAGTTAGCAATTTTTAAAAATTTTTATGTTATTAATAGTTTATGCTGTTTCATTGAAATTCAGTTGATTTTTTTAATATTGATTCTTATATCCAATGACCTTGCTAAATTCTTTTATTAATTCTAATAGCTTGTCTGAAGATTCTTTTAGTCTTTAGGGACACAATAAGCTCATCAATGAATAAAGACAAATTTGTTTATTTATTTCCAATCCCATGGCATTTCTTTATTTTTCTTGTGTTATTGTGCTATTTAGGATCCCCAGTGCAGTGCTGAATAGACCTGGTACTAGTAGGCAGCCTTGTCTTGTTCATGAACTCAGGGAGAAAATGTTCAGCGTGTTCACCACTAATGTTTTCTGTGGATGCCCTTTATCAGATTGAGGAAGTTCCATTCTAATCTTTGTTTACTAAAGGCTTTTTTCCTCTTTTAAGTCATGAAAGGGTGTAGAATTTTTATCAGTTGCTTTTTCTACATTTATTGAGATGATCCCTGTATTTTTTCCCATTTTTTCTATTAGTATGGTGCATTATACTGTTTAATTTTTGTTTCTGTATTAAACCATCCCTGCATTCCCAAATTTGATCAAGATACATTTTCTTTTTAAAATGTATATCATTGGATTCTATTTGTTAATATTTTGTTTTGGAATTTTGAATCCATGTTTGTGAGAGAGAGTTGGCCTATAATTTTTGTTTTTTGTAATGTTCTTGGTATGTTTTTGGTAAAAAGGGTATACTGACCTGATAAAATAAGGTGGGCTCTTAAAGAGGGTAAATACCCTCTTTCTGTTATCTGGCAAAGTTTGGTAAGATTGATATTATTTCTTCCTTTAATGTTTGGAAGAATGCTCTGGTGAAACCATGTCAGTTTGGAGCTTTTTTTATGAACAAGTTTTAGATTATGGATTCAGTTTTTTTTTTTTAAAGATTTTATTTTTTTCCTTTTTCTCCCCAAAGCCACCTGGTATATAGTTGTATATTCTTCGTTGTGGGTCCTTCTAGTTGTGGCATGTGGGACGCTGCCTCAGCATGGCCTGATGAGCGGTGCCATGTCCGCGCCCAGGATTCAAACCAACGAAACACTGGGCCGCCTGCAGCGGAGTGCACGAACTTAACCACTCGGCCACGGGGCCAGCCCCTATGGGTTCAGTTTTTTAAATAGTTTTATATTTGTTCAAGAATAGTTTGGTTAGTGATGTTTTTCTAGGAGCTCCTATTTTTGTTCCCTTCATCACTGAGACTGCTGAAAGCTCTATTTTACTTTCAAAATGGAAATCTTTTTGAGAATTTTTGCTTGGTTTCTTCATCTCTTGGCCACTGTTTACACATTGGCAAATGTCTTCAGGGGAAAAGCAGCTGTGAATTCAAGCTTGCTTCTTTGTTTTTCTCTTCTCTCTGGGATCCTGCTTGGCCTTTAAAGCCCCTAGCCTGATAACCCTAAATTCCAATTTTGTCTCCCAGCCCCTTGAGACTACAGAAAGCTCCGCTCTGTTTCCTAACCTCTTAACTGCTCTGCTTCTCATCCTATCTGTCCTGTGCCAGTTATGAATCAGTAGCAAATTCATTGACAGAAAAAGTAGCACAGAATGTTGTGTTCATTTCAATTTTTTCTCTTAACCCTGGGTTCTTGTTCTTTCCAGCCCTGGCTGCTTGACTGTGCTCTGATGCCTTGAGGATGCTATTTGTATTTTATTTTGGCTTTTCTAGACTAGTTGTAGGCAGAAGAGTTGGGTTGATACAAACAAGTCCCTCCTAGCTAAAAAATTAGGCAAGCCTCTTAAGTCACTTTAAATCTATTTCCTCATCTTTAAATTGGGAATAATACCAATTCCCTCAGGGGGCTGATTAAAATAATAATAATATGTGCCTGGTACATAGTAGCATTCAATAAAAATGTGAGCTAATATTATATTAATTTCAATAATAATACTAAATATCTCTGAAATTA